GAAATAGTAATTTCGGGCGCTCGCATTCCTGCTGCCTGCACCTAGCAACAATGACATAATATTCCAGTAAATTAACACGTAGCGCCCCTAAGGGATGGCCACTTTAACCCACGCCTGCTAGGTCCGGGCAGCAATCGCCACATTAACATTACTACTGTTACTGGCCGCCTCCACAGGGAATTTATATTCTATTTTAAGTAAAGTGTAGGCCCTAGGGGGGGGAGGCGGCTAGTAGTAGTAGTAGTAGTAGTAGTTGTTGTTGTTGTTGTTATGTAACAGTAGTAGACGTAGACCGCCCGCCTGCACCGCCCGAACCACCCGCGCCACCCGTGCTCAGAATTTTGCTTGGGATCCACAACCTTGTCAGTGTTCGCGACGAGTATTGTGGGAATCAACCTCTATGCCTCTATGCAAGATCTCGATACAAGGACGCACTACGCCACAGGGGGTCAAAGAGCTAGGGGTGTGGGGGGGGGGCCGCGAAAATAGTCCTACTACAACTGGAACCCCTGTACTGCATCCAGATGGTCCGTACTACAGTTGGAAAGCGGGCTCTATCACAACTGGTCACAGAAATCACCAACCCAGTCCATACTGCAACCAGAACACAACATAATGAGATCACCATGAGATGCAGGAAGTTTTCGTGACAACCCCGGCCACTTAGTGTATTCTGGGGCGGGCCCTGCTTTTGGAGTGCTTCGTGGTGCTGGAGAGCTCTGGACATTTTGAATGGGTGGTGTTGGAGGGCTCTTGGTATGGTCTCTTGGAATGGTGGTGTCGGAGCTGTTGGAATGCTCTTGCTATGGTGGTCTTGGAATGGTGGTGTTGGAGGGCTCTTGAAATGCTCTTGGAATGGTGCTCTTGGAAACCTCCCGATCATAATCGCATAATTGGGTTATAACCCTAAAGCAAAAGCGGGTCATGGTACTACAGGAAGTTTTCCCGCTGGTTCCCTGTACCCTGAAATTTGGGAATACTCATAGTTACGTATTATCATTTGGCCCTTCCTGGCTCCTGGTGCCCTGAAAGTTGGGATTGGTCATACCTATGTATTATCATTTGGCCTTCTGTCATTCCTTGCCATGCATAACCATAATCTTGGGAATAGTCACAACAAAACATTATCATCTGGCCCCTTGTGATGAATTCGAAATAGTCATAGCTTAGATGATGATTTGGCCTCCGGTGGTTCTTTGAGCTTCAGATTCCGGAAGAATCATAGCTTAGTATCATGACTGGGCCCTGTCTTGTCCTTTTCATACCGTGAACTTTGGAAATAGTCAGAGCCACAAATTGTGATTTGGGCGTTTCTGGTTCCGTATACCTTGAAATGATTCGAGTATGTTAATGATTGTTAATGTTACGGGCGGTCCCTTTCAATACGACTTCTTGGTATTCTGACGAATGATGGTCCGTACTACAGCTAAGGTTTCCTTGAACTGAATCAAATTTCCTTCCCTCGGAATACAAATCCGATCTTGAAATCTTGTTGTGGATGAATTTACTAGCTGGTTGTGAAAGAGGGGGTTGGTGGTTTTCCTAAAATCAGCCTTCGGTTGCAGTACGGACCGTCTGGTTGCGGTGAAGGAGTTCGAGTTGTAGAAGGGACTAGTCGCGGGGGGGGCGGCAGCCCCCCGGAAAAAAAGAGGGGGTGAGGGGGCGGCCCCCCATCTGCAAACCATTGAGGAATGTCGCAACTGATGATGAGGATCCATTATTCAACATGATATGGGCTCATGGATATGCACGGGTTTTGAGGGGTCAGCACCCCCATTTGCAAACCATTGAGGAATGTGGCAGTCGTTGATGAGGATTAATCATTGGACAATTCATATTTCGATAGAAAGCAACGTAAATCGTAAACCTCGTGAAAACCATGACGAATAATGAGCTATGAACACATGACGAGAACTGATGACGCGTGATGAAAAGTTTGATAATCATGGAATATGACGGACAGTGATGAAAACACATGAAAATGATGAACACAAATTAAATGACAATAGTGAAAATTCATGGAAACCGATGGAAATGGGTGAAGCATGAAGGCAAAAGCTTGAAAGTGATGATGAAATATGATCAAACATTGTCAAGAGAATGAAAACAGATAAGCAATCATGAAAATAATGACAGATAATGAACATCATGAAAACCTATGAACATAATGATAAAGAATGAAAATCATGAAAGCCCATGACATGACGTAAAATGATGAACAATCATGAAACTTGATGAAAAGTGATGAAAATATTGAGAAAAGGTGGAAGATTTGTCAAAAAAAAACCTATAAGGCCATGGGTCCTGGTCAGGCCACGGCGCACGGGCCATGCGTGCTGATTTCCAGTACACGGGCCCGGCCCAAGCCACGGGCCCATATGTGTGAGGGCCCGGGTCCCGGGCCCGGCCACGGGCGAGTCGCAGGCTGGCCCGGGCCCGGCCCGCACCACCGGCACGACTCACAGGCCATGCCTGCCGAGGGCCGGTACCGGCCTCGGACCATGCCAAAAAAAACGCGGACCCGTTTCGACGGTTGAGCGGTATATGTTTACATGCTCCTCTTTTCCTGACCCGATTCGTGCCTTAAATGCTTGCAATGGGCAGCCGATACGTTACGTCTCCTGGATCCAGTTCGCACCTCTGCCAGGAACTGGCTGGCAGGCTGGCAGTGCGTTGATTAGCCAGCAGCTTTTTAGCTTTGAGGTGCACACAGGCATCACAGCCAACATTCCCAGGGCCCATTGATAGCAGACAAGTCAGCGATGTGCGCAACGTCGTAAATTGTAAATAGCTGCGGAACTGGGACGAAGTTGAAACATGTTGAATCCTTGCGCAGGCTGAGTTTGCCCAAGTGCAGCGCTTAAACAAGAGCTCCCTAAGGAAGGCACGGATGAACAGTGTCGAGTGGGTTTCTTATCAAGGCCTCACCTTGCCCTGCTGCTACCTGACGGACGCTTGCTGAAGGCAAGGTGCATGCTAGTGCCAGAGGTACTAGTTCAATCGAGAGTCATCCGTTTGGCGGTTCACTTCCGTGTTCTTGCTCATCTTTCTGCTAATGCTCTCGCCTACCTGTGCTTCCAACATGGAATCTGAAGGCTCGAGACCATCGTTCCTTACTGGACGTTTTCACCTCCCCGGACCAACTCAGTCAGGGGCCGAACGAGTAAGGTTGTCGCAGGTTTCAAGTTTTTGCCAAACCTCTCTCGTCCAGACCCAGGTGATGCTGAGGACGCTGAGGAGTGTTGAGCATTAGATGCCAGCTGAACTTGTGCTGGTTGTAGTTGCTTTACTTATGGTCACCAGCAGCCTTGCAGTGCCCCCATAGGCTGACGAGCAAGCTTGAGAGTAAAGTCCGAAATAATGTAGTTGCACAGACCGATTTTAATAAGTAAAGTGCACATGCTCGAACTCTCAGCTTGGGGCTTGCTTGTGTGCATAACTTCTCAAGATGTCTCATGAAGACGTGGGACGTTCTGTCCATCCTCTGCACTTTGATAAGCTGGGCTTTGCACAATTCACACGAAGCAGCCTTTTGGTTACTTTGCGATCATGATCCTAGCAATGATTCTCCCATCTCCTTGTAGGCCAGTTGGCACAACCAGACCTCCTTCTCATCCCATTTGTCGTGAATCCTCTCGCACCTGCCTTTCCACATCTGGGCGTATCCAGCGAGTGTTAGCTGTGGAGAAGCAAGTTCGGGTAACTTGCTTGAACCTATCTAAGCTAAATCTCCAGACCATACCACGATCATTCCAGGTGTTGTCGCTTGGTCATGGCGC